GATGCTCTCTATTTGTCTTACACCATTAAGTGCTGGCTGTGCAACACACCTCATTGCTTCCCTTATTTTTTTTGGCTTATCCTTAGTACACGTGGTACAGGCCAAATTAATTAATCATGGTGGGTAGTTAGCGACTGCTTTTACTATAAGTGCACCACATGTGTACACATGTGAAAATCAGTTCGGCTTTGCACTTACAAATGTGCCAAAGCCCTGTTTGGTTACTTGCAATTGCTGGTGGGATGGACTTTTGCAAGAATCGGGGGCCATCTGAACATTTTTTTTTTTATCAGAAAAAAAAAAAAAGTGCCCAATGCGGGAATCGAATCCGGGTCGTAGCGCTCCAAAACCAACGGTTTAGACTATCCTTCCACCGACCCCCTTGCTTCCCTTATTGCATGCATTTATGGCAACAGTATTGCAGCCTTGTTTTAGCTCATTTATGTATTGAAGCTACTGTTTGGTGAAGACATTTTCCATTTCTGTGTTTTGAAGGTATGATCAAGTTTGTCCCTTGTAATGTTTTATTGATATAGAATCATTGTATTTTAAACTGTTGGAGAAAATATGGCAACAGTGATAAGATTGCTCTATCTTTACCTGATAGTGCTAGCATATAGGTGTGCCTGTCACAGGATGTAAGCCCATTGTATTGATATGTTTCATCTTCCAATCACCATTTTTCAATCAATTTAACCTAATTGTCTTGCTTAGTCTTCAATTAATGAAGATGTGTGAATCTTACCTAATTAGGTTATATATATGCTGATCCAAAGGTTAGCAGTCAGAGTACCATCCCTAGCAGTCCTTTAATTCCTCTCTATATATACATATCTCTCTGAGAGGGTTTTACAAACTTTAATTAATTAAACCCATATTTTTTAAAGAGAAACACTTGGGGAAGATATACACACTACTATTTGTATATTTAGTTCCTTAGCCTTTTTGTAGAAAATACTCACTTGTGGGATATTAATAAGCTATTAACACGTGGTGAAAGAATGAAAAATATAAAAACTTCCAAAAATAGTCTCACTATGGTACTTAATGGCCACCTATTACAAGATAGCATGCCAAAAAAGCCTGCCTGATTGGTTAACAGAATAACTCATTTCTACCCAACTATGAAGTGTAACATTTCCATGGCAGTCTGGATACACCTTTCTATAGTTCTTTTTTTTTTAGACAATATCAAACCAAACTTATTGTAATTATGCATATAGTTTGTTAGAGAGAGCAATGTTTCAATATTTTGACCACAGAAAGGAAAGTTGGCATAGATGTGGGGACTACTGTCAAGGGAGGGAGGGACTAAAGCAGCACCTGATGTATGCGCAGTAGTAATCTGCGCCACTTTTGTATCTCTCTGGGGGCGGGGCCTCGGTGGTGCTCCTGATGAGCCCCATGCCGTGTCGCTTCTAAGTCCAGAGGGCAGCGGTGTGGGGACCTCCAAAACGCCCCCTGCAGTTGTGCCGCCAGCAGATGGTCTAGTGACGTTCAAGCTGCGGTTGGCGGAGAGTACGGCGCTCCAGTGGCAAGCTTTGCTCTGGCAGCGTCGTCTCTACCTCCAACTGCCCCCCGGCCCCCTCCAGGATGGCTCTAAGGAAGCCCTGGTTGCTCTCCTGGAGTACGCTGAGGAAGAACTTCACTGCTCCCACGTGCTGGTCTGCTTCCAGAAAGATCGGCCTGACAAAGGTGAGTCTAGAGAGTGCAGAGAACTTACATAGCACTGATTGTCTCGAGGACAGTCTCAATTTAAGACACCATCTGGGTACAATCACTCATCATGAATTTACATTTTGGGACCTGAAAATCTTAATTGTGATTTGGTTTATTTCCTAAAGAGAATGAAATTATTGGCAGCATGAGCTTTGTCCATTTTCTTACATCTCTCATTTATACTTGGTTGCTCCCTTGAGACTGAGCATCACCAGATAGCAAGTATATTCTACACTCACTCCGTATAACCTTTGACCCATTCAGGAGCAGACTTTTCTGTTATTTCCTTCTCCGGAACATCATGCTCAGAACTGACAATAGAGGATCTATTTTCCAGGCCTATAGCTACCATCACAAAATTGGAGAGAAGTGGACTTCAGGAATTGGTTTAACCATGGAGATATGCACCACCACCATCTTTGACCCCATCACACAATGGGTGGTGTTGTATAGACAGGCCTTACCAACATATTTTTATAGTACTCATACAAAAAGATACCCAGCTTTGAACGAACTATTCTGAACATCTCCCCAAACAAGCAAACTTCTTTGCTGAACAACATCCACTTCCAGTCTGGGGATTCTCAAGTAGCTGGTGTGTACAGGCCTAATGGTGCGGACCTTCATGTACCTGGGATTCTGCATTCTACCCCCCGGCCACGAACTTGCATTGCCCCCCCTTCCTGATGACCTGATCTATATGATGTATTCTACCAACTAGTTAATCCCCCCCTCCACACCGCCGCCGCGCTGCAACTGGACACATTCCTCTTCTTATAATTATCCCCTTATATCTCTCGTATATCTCTATCTCTCTCTCTATCTATATATATATATTTGTATCTTTGTCCCCCCCCCCCCCCCTGTGTGTTTCTATCATCTTCTAAGTGTGCTCCTCCTTTATATTAACCCCCAATAAAATAATTTTTTTTGGTTAATTTGACCAGCTTTACTCTGTTGTTTTTTTGACTCCTCCATCATATTTAACCTCTTGTGGCCATTACAACTCCTTGTCTTGTCTTTGTATCTACGTCAATAAGGGTATGTAAATAGTTTTTTTTTTTTTGTTTCAACTTTTTTTTCTTTCAAAATTTCTTTTATTTTATTTATTATAAAGGTTTCAACCAAAAATGTTCATAAAAAAATAATTAAAATTGTTTTTTTTTTCCCTTTTTTTTTTGTTGTTGGGATTTGATTGTTAACCTTTCTTTTCCCCCTTTCTCGTAATGCTTAGTAAAATAAAAAATTTTGGTCACTTTTTTTTTCCCCATTTCATTTAGATATTAAGTAAACAATATTTCAAATAGCAAATAAACAATATACAAGTTATTACAAAGCAATATAACGTACCATCTATATATAATGAATGAAGATATTAAGACGCGAAAGTTTCTTTTCACAAATCACAATTCTCTACTATATATTTTTTCATAGCAGTAAAGACTAGAAAAGTTTGATTTATTTGTGAAAAAAAAACATTCGTGTCTTCATTTGTTATATATACAAGTTATGTTTCAAAAGTCCCCGTTCTCTGATTGAAGAATTTTAGAATAAGAGAGGTCTCTCTCTCTTGATAAAGACTTGGGTATTCATGTATCCTCTATGTAAAAATATTTCAATGAGTTTCCATTTATGATAAAGCACAATTTGGATTATAGATACAAGAAAATAAGACCTAATCCAAATAATTTAATAGTGTGTGATGTTTCGGTAACAATGCTGTTATACAAACGTCATAGATTAGATTACACGAATAGATTCAAAAAGGATAAGTTTATTTATTTATGAAAATAATATCAGAATATTGCCAAAACATGAGCGAAGCTTTTTTTTGTTTGCTAATGCTATAACTTTTTTTTTAAACATGATGCAAGGTGTGAAAGTTGTCACCAACGCCCAATGACCTCTTAGACAGGGATATGTTATAATCAAAAGTAAACAAAAGGTAATAAGACCAAATAAATAGTGTAGTTTTTTTGGTAACAGCATTGTTACCATCTTTAAACAAAAGTAGTGAATGAGAAATTATACCACAGCATGTTTTAAATAAGTTACTGTTATCAAGTGTTTAAACAATATAGCATATAAGAAGATAGTTTTCTATAAGAATCCTAAAATATTTTTGTAATTCTAAGAATAATATTTTAGGGTTCTTATGGAGAACTATTTCTTATCTGCTATCTTGTTTACACACTTGATAACAGTAACTATTTAAAACATGCTGTGGTATAATTTCTCATTCAGTACTTTTGTTTGAAGATGGTAACACTTACTGAAAAATCACACACTATTTGGTCTTATTACCATGTGTTTATAATCCAAACGTTGCCTTATCATTACAATCAGGAGTATGGGGCTCTGGCACATTTATAAGTGCAAAGTCGAACTGCTTTTCACATGTGTAGACATGTGGTGCACTTAAGAGTAAAAGGAGTCTCTAACTACCCATCATGATTATCATGGCCTGTACCACCTGTACTAGGGATAAGCAAAAAAAAAACAAGTGTCACCTACTCCTCCATCCACTATTACAGGAACCTATGTTAGTGTTGTCCCCAGACTGGCTGTGTGTTTATGACGGGTTTGACTGGATATATATAGTGTCTTCTGTTATATTCTCAAATGCATCAAAAAATGTCAGAACTTGTGAGGTTTGAAGCCATTTCTTCTTTCTTATCTCCACTCAAATCACACTAAGGTATCAAGCTTTTAAAGCTTGAGACTTTTGATGGTGTCTGCCGGGGAAGAGTAGAACTCATCAATGGATGAGTCAATAACAGTCAATAATATGTCTTGGGGTTGCAGGCTGAGAATTGCACTTAGTACATAGTGGGAAAACCTTGCAACCATTCTGGAAAGTCGTTCTCCGTAGATGACCAGACTTAAGTCTGGAAATCAAAGACTTGTTCTGAAGCCATTTCTGATACAGTGAGCGGAACACTCCAGTAAGACAATCTTCCATGAAATATAAGTACAGTCTCCTCTCTCAATGGAATGAAACCCTATCTGCCCTCTAGTTTTGAATTTTGTTCCTAGATTAGTATTGAGAGGCTAAAGAAGTACAGCAAGATCTACAATATCAAAACTATCATGACACTTTTCTAAGTAAGTTGGCATGTAGCTAATAAATGGTCTCTCGGAGAGACCAGCAGTAGCCATGTTTTTTAAGACTTATGGGTTCTATTTTATTAGCTCTGTTTTTATACCTGCAATTGTGATTGGAGAATCACATATCTAACTCTTGAGCTTAAGGATAAAATGGCATATTTCATGAGAGACCTTCTAAAACATAATCTTTATATAGCTCTTTTTTTTTTTTTTAAAGATGTCCATATCTCGAAATAGAGAAAAATTAAAGAAGTTTTGAGTGGTCTTTGATATTGCCAGTCATATGCTTTTTTTGAAGTAGACAGAAGCAATTTCATTCACACTTGGTTATCTCGGAGGTCTTCAATAAAGGTCACTGTAATATCTTTGAGTTATTTTCTGAACCCGATATATACATGCTAAAAGGTGCAACTTCCTTAAGTTTTAAACTAAAGAGACAAGGGTCGCCTCTCCCCCTCAAAATAGACGTCAAATACAGACGCCATCTAGAGACCCTTGTCTCTTTAGATCAATATCCTCCCGGCAAAATTTCCATCTATATTCCTTAAGTTTTGTCCATGAGTGTATAAGAGATTTTACCATAATTAGACTACTGTATTAGGATATGAATGTAGAGGTGGTGTTCAGACTAGAGATGGATTCTTTAGGTGGTCTATTCATTTGAATAGAAGACATCCCTCTTAAACCTTCAGCTGGGTATAAAAGTACTAGTCAAACTGACCTTCTATTAAGGTCTTGAGGTTAAAAGGTACACAGAGAAGAGAGTTGAGGTACAGAGAATTAACAACAACAGTATCAAGAATCAGAACAGGACATTTTAAAGGAATGAAGATACACTCAGAAATGACTAGATCCTACAGAAACTGTAATAACTGTTACAACACCCAACCTACTCCGGACCATAATATATAGTTACCCGGCCATCCTTGCAGCCCTCTATATGACAAACATCAATCCAGAAGAGGACATCCATACGGACAAGGCATCTTTGTTGGCTGGTATTGTGATCAGGGTGCACGGACCAATCTGATCTGCTCCATGGACAAGACACCAGCACCAGGTTAAAAGGTAAAAATAATAAGCATAGACATTGAAGGAATTTTACTATGAAACACTATGGTATTTTGTTGTTACAGAGAAACCTATTTTTAAAGTATATTCAGCGCCTAAGATATAATTTTCATATTTTTATTCTCAGAAAAAGTTCAATGAAATGTCTCTCTTTATACATTTTTAAAAATGCTACATTACTTTCAGCAGCTCTCCCTCATTCAATTTTTCATTATTGCAGGATATGTAGAAATAGCTAAAGGTGATATGTATTTAAAAAGGTAGTGTCAATAGCTATAGATGGGGCTAATATTGATGATATTCAAAATCTATCTTATAAGAAGGTGGAAAATTCCAAGACAATATTGTGCTGACCTTTAATCTTATCTTAAATGATAAGAAGTCAAGTGATAGGTTTGAGGGCTCAAGTCTTGAAGCTATATCCCTTTTTGTCTAGAGTACTTTACATATGGTACAGTCAAAGCTGTTGTAAACCCACATTGAGGGTATATCCCTTTTTGTCTTGAGTGCATATGGTACAGTCAAAGCTGTTGTAAACCCACCTTGAGGGTGTATCCCTTTTTGTCTAGAGTACTTTACATATGGAACAGTCAAAGCTGTTGTAAACCCACATTGAGGGTGTATCCCTTTTTGTCTTGAGTGCATATGGTACAGTCAAAGCTGTTGTAAACCCACCTT